CAGATGCCAGGCTCCTGGAACATGCAATTGCCTCAATCTAGAGTTCACCTGGCTCCTTCGCTGCTCAGGGGATGTGCGTTCTACAGCATGGATCCCTTGTGAATTATCTTACTCTCTACAGAGATTTTGGTTTTGTTCAGTGAAGCAGAATTATCTTGAAACCTTTTTAAACAGATCCAAAATTACTAGAATCCCTAGACCTTTTCCTCCTTCCCCATCTTTGCTAAAGCTAAAACTGTACTCCCCAGAGACTCTAAAATTTAATCCAAGGAGAGCAGGAACTATTACAAGGCTGTTGGTTTTAAAATCATTTCCAGGCTGGGAACACAGCTCAGCAGTGAAGTAGTTGCCTTAGCATGCACTAGGCTCTGGGTTCTATCCCAAAAGCCACCAAAAAAAAAAAAAAAAAGGAGAAGGAGGAGGAAGAAAGGTTTAATTCATCAGCCTTTTTGATGAAGAAAAATGTGGATTCATTCGATGAACATTTATTGACAAGGTTCAGTTTCTTTGTGTGTGGAATACTGTGCCAGGTGATAAAAATACATCTTGAGACCAGTGAATTAAAAGCCTAGGTTGAATGATTCTTCAAGGCATAAGGGATCATGACTGCCAGAATTTGAAAAATGGCTGGAGATTGCAGTCAAAGGGAACCCTGAACGAAGAACTTTTCTTTCCAAAGCAAAAATGTGAAGGAACACAGCTACTCATGAGGCTCAGGCAAAAAATTGCAAGTTCAAGGCCACACTGGGCAACTTAAAAGAAGACTCTGTCTCAAAAATAAAGTAAAAAGAGCTGGGGGTATAGCACAGTGGTAGAGCACTCATGTGTGAGACCCTGGGTTCAATCCCCAGGACTTCTCACCCCTCACAACTTTTTTTTTTTTAAAGGAACAGTCATATTACTGATAATGTAACATCTCCAGGGTTTGGAATCCTCACTAACCCTGGCAAATACCCTGATAGATGAAACTGTCAGAAAAGTTACAGCTCCACAGTGCATTGGTTGTACCCAGAAGGAGCCACTCAGGGCCTAGGTTTAAGGGTTGGCCCCTCTGAACTGCCTGGACCTGAAAGCAGGACTTTATTTGCTGAACTTGGGAGAGTGGGCAAGTTAATTTCTAGTGTAAATTTAATCAGAACAAAACAGCCAAGGGGTGCTGATAATGAAATGAGTGCTTACTCCCTTGGATCCCTGGAGCTAAGTGATTTGTATCTCTAATGTCACTTAGTCCTCTGGGCAACTTTAGGCAATACAGGTGGTATCCCTACTTAGAGTTTAATTAGCTTTCCAGGCCCTGTGTTTCTTCCTTTACCTGTGAAGACAGCCTGTCCTATAAAGTGACTTCTATTGATTGCTGATTCACTTATTTTGTGTACCAATTTGTCTCGAGAGATTTGCATCATTTCCATTAACTGGGGGCATTTCATTAATGTCCATTAACTGGGTAGAATCCCTGAAGAATACGCTACTTTTTCACTCTAGAAATTGGAACCATTTGAGTACAGATACAGGGTTGGAGAGATGTGGGCCTTTCTCTGCCAGAGGTAATTTCAAGCACCATCTCACTAAGCTTCTTGGTAGCTCTATTGACATGGGGACACCTCACAAATCTGATTGAACTAGTATATGCCCAGCTGAGCTGTGCTCTGAGCCAGGCCCTATGTTGCACTAAGAATCCTGACAGGAATCAGACCTGGTGCCTATGCCTGGTAGAAGGAACAGAAGGTACAGGTAAATAAAACAGAAGGCCCTAGTGTGACCAAAGCACAGTGTGCTAGAGGAGTGTGGGGGAGGAGAAATGAATTGCAAATGGGACTCTCCAGGAATGCCTAGTGGAGGCTGGATTTAAGTTGGGCCTTTCAGCCCTGCCTAACTATTCATTGGGAAACACTGGATGGAAAAGCTTTTTAAGCAAAGGATCCATTTTAGCAAAGTTACAAGGTAGGAAAGTACATAGAGTATCTGGGAAAATTAAGGATGACTTCATGAGGACAAGGTCAGAGATTAAAATATTTTCTGACAAGTCACCTTACATTCATCCAATATGAGAAATTCTCACACTCCATAAATAACAGTGATCATTTTTTGTTTCCCATTGTTGCCATCATGTAAATGATTAGTGCCGTATGTTGAGCAGAATATTATTACATGTCTAGACTATCACATTATTGCTAGACTATCACATTTATTTCTCAGCTAATCCTGCAATTAGGACTTAATCTCACTTTACAGATGAGTATACATAAAGGATAAGTAGAATTTAAAGTGATGGTAGCCCAGGATTAATGCCAAAGCTATTGTTTTTTCTACTGCACCCCAGCGCCTCCCACAAGTACTTCGGCACTAAATACAATCACAATGGTCACACACTTCACTTTTGAAAATTATGTTTGCTTTTAAAAGAAAATAAAGGAAACAATTTTTTGTATATTGCCTTAAACATTCATTATACCTGTGAATTCTTGGACATACCTACAAAACCATATATATTATGTTTGACAGGCCATATAAAAAATTTCAGGGGTCTGGGATTGTGGCTCAGTGGTAGAGCACTTGCCGGGCATGTGTGAGGTCCTGGATTCATATCTCAGCACTGCATATAAATAGTCCATCTGCAACTAAAGTTACAAAAAAAAAAAAAAAGAATTTCAGGACATGGATGTAGCTCAGTGGTAGTGTAGCACACTTGCCTGGCGGATACAAGACCCCAGGGTTCAATCCTAGTACTAAAAAAATAAAGAATCAAATGCATGAATTCAATAACCAGCACCCCCATTCCCCTTGCATAAAAAAGAATTTCAAGACTAATTTTACTCATACAAGTATTATTTTCATCTTTACATGACTTTAGAATCTAACATGCAAACGAAATGAAACTATTGTAAAATTCCTGTCCTTGTTTTTGCCTTGATATAGTTGCTATAATTACAGGGAAAGAGACATGCACCTTAGCCTCCCCCCTTCCACCCAGAGTTACTATAGCATCTTGCAGCTGTGGAAAATATCCTGAGTACAGTTCTCAAAAAGGCCTCCTTGGCCCTAATTTCTCTAAATGCCATCAACTTTCCACCTTTTCATGAGATACTTACCATCAATAGGTCCATTTTGCAGTGTAACACTGAACAACTGCCTTTCTCTTTTAGATGTTCCTTTGGCAGAGTCTATTTAGGCAGTATCTTTTATGAATTCCGCATATAAAATTTTCTCTGGTATTCCTCCCAATTCCATGTATTTCCCTAAATGTTTCATTATATTCCTGGTACTACTGTTTGAATTCTTTCTTTTTTGAGAAACCACAGACACAGGTTAGTGTAATTGTAACAGATTTAAGGATACCCTGATGCCAACTCATAGGCAGTTTTATTAGAGACAGATGATGGCATTTGTTTCATTGGTAGGATGAGGGTGATGCCCTCTGCAAACACAATACTTAGTGGAGGGTAAGTTTGGAAAGTATATTTGTTATTTTTTCTGTTACAAACCACCCCAAGACCTGATGGCTTAAAATAACACGTATTTCTCCTGAATCTACTGCCTGCCTGGGTGTTTCTGCTGATCTGGACAGGTCTGGCTGATCTTAGCTGGGCTTGCTCACATATATCTGATCAGTTGGCTGATTAGCCAGCAAGACTGTTTTCTCTACACGTCGTACATCTCTGCAGCCACTCTCACATCCTAGGCAGCCAGCCTGGTAATGCCTTGGAGTGTGGCAGAGATGCATGAGTAAGCAAGCCTAGTAATGCAAGGAAACAAGGAGAAACACATACACACTTATGCTGACAGCATCTTTGCTAACATACCATTGGCCAAAGAAAGTGACATGGCCATGCCCATGGGAGGGGACTACAAAGTTACAGGATATAGAAAAGCTATTAATCGGGGCCAAAATGCAATTAGTCTTTCAGTTAGGTCCCCTCTATGTGAAACTTTCAGACTTAGATTACTTGATCAAGTTTTTCTAGAAGGGGAATAAAAAGGCCAAGTAATGGTTGTGTATTGGGCCTATGGGCCTGCACAGGGCTAGACACTTTACCTGCTTTTGCAACAATCCTCACAACAATTCTGCAAGGTAGGTAGGAATTGAAGTTCAGAGAAGTTAAATAACTTGCTCGAGGTCATCCTCCTAGTGGGCAGGAATTAGAATGCATGTCCATCTGACCCCAAAATCCAGGTTCTATGTATCATCATCACTGCCTCTCAAGAGTACCATGGTTGAGCCAGGCAAAGTGCACATTCCTGTAATCCCAGCAGCTCAGGAGGCTGATGCAGGAGGATAAAAGTCAGCCTCAGCAACTTAGTGAGACCCTGTCTCAAAATAAAAAATAAAAAGGACTAGGGATGTGGCTCAGTGGTTATGTGTCCCTGGGTTCAATCCCTGGTACTGCCCCCCAAAAAGGAAGTAAGTTCCAGGGTCTGCCTTAACCTCCCTGCCAACATAAATTTTAAGTTGAGTTGATGCTTTCTGACAAGTTCTACAAACCCCTTCTCTAAAATGTTGCTGTGATTCTAAAGGAATTGTGCGACTCTCCTGAAAACCCACACATTCTTCCAAGTTCTCTGTCGACTGAAAGCATGCTTTCCTTCCAGATGAGGATTGGTCTGTAGACTGCACAGGCATCCCCAGAATTGTGACCTCTCCTGAACATGCCAGAGAGAGAAGGGCTGTCTTTAACTTTTGAAATTCAGGGACATCAGGGTATTAGAACATTCGAGCATGAGCTTTGGAGTCAGATTCCCTGAAGTTCAACCACTCATTAGCTCTGTAACCTTGGGCAACTCATTTAACTTCTTAAAATATATTTCTTCATTTAAAAGGGGGAAAAATGGGAGTAAGAACACCTCGTTTGCAGAGCTGTTATAAGGACTAAATCTAAATTATGTCTATAAAGTGCCTAACTCCGTGCCTGGTATGTAATAAGAGGCATTATTAGTACTGTTAGTATTATTTCTAAGGAGAGTCTTTCCCCTCCTGGGAAACCCTGAATCTGTCTGTTGTGCAGGTCCCCCTTACCTCCAGCCAGTCTGTGCAGACTTGCTGCCTGCTATGTCACCGTGAACGGAAAGGCTGGGAAGAAGGCCCTTCACAAAATGGACTGGTGTTGCAGGGTGAGAAGCTTCCCCCTGACTTCATGCCAAAGCTCGTCAAGAATCTCCTAGGCGAGATGCCTCTGTGGGTCTGCCAGAGTTGCCGGAAAAGCATGGAGGAAGATGAAAGACAGACAGGTCGAGAACATGCAGTGGCAGTAAGTAACCACTAAAAGGGGGTTCCTGAATGCAGAGCAGCCACCTCCCCAGAGACATCAGGTGTTCCTTCCCTGTATTCAGGTGGCTCTACTTGGGCCTTCCCCAGGCCCAGGCACTGAGAGACTACTGGATTACCCTGATACAGCTTTTGTGGCTCAGGTTCAGATTTGGGGGAAGAGACAGGTTTCAGGTATCCCACCAGCCCCTCAATATAGCACATACACAAGATAAGGATAAGGACCTGCACATAAGTACCAGTAGATCACGATCCTACTCCTTCATGTGACCCTGATTTCTTCAGCTCTGTTGCAGTTTGAAAGTCAACCAGTATGATGACATAAAGGGTAAAGGTCAGTTTGGGGGTCTAAAATGTGCCTTTGAAGCCTTCCAAGATAGCTGGGAACCATGGAAGTCTGGCATCCCATGAGTCATGGTGGCCAGACTTTCCTCATTTCTCATTCCCCTCCACACTCTTTGACCCGGGATCCATTAAGTTTCAGGACTCCTGGCTTAAAGACCCTTTCTCTTGATAGCAGCCTCTCACCACTCTACATAACTGGAAGCACCACAGCCCTCACTTAGCAAAGACCAGCCCTTGCTTATGCTTGTTGCCAGAGTTGTCCTGATTGTGTTTTGACAATGACACAGAGGCCTGGGGGAGAAAGGAATGCCTTTGGTATACACTGAGGCAACAGAGGGTCTGTTCTGCTGTTTGATCGTGAGCCTTTTTCTTCCTGTTTTCCAGATCTCCTTGTCACACACGTCCTGCAAATCACAATCTTGTGGAGGTGATTCTCATTCTTCCTCATCCTCTTCTTCATCATCCTCATCTTCCTCCTCCTCTTCCTGCCATGGGAACTCAGGGGACTGGGATCCCAGCTCGTTCCTGTCTGCGCACAAGCTCTCGGGCCTCTGGAACTCCCCACATTCCAGTGGTGCTGTGCCAGGCAGCTCACTTGGGAGTCCTCCTGCCATCCCTGGTGAGTTCTTCCAGCTCAGCAGAGAGCCAGGCCCCCTCAACACAGACAGCTATATTTTCCTATCCACTTTATTTAATAAATCAGAGGATTTTTTAATTAAAATAAGTAAAAATAGAGCTGTTCTCATGGTAGAAGGGGCAACTTAGACCTTCTATCTCTATGAAACACCTTTCCCATGACTCTAAAGTTGAAAAATACTGCTAGTAGAAGAAAATTGCTCTCAAAGCTGTCATTGATTCTGATAGCTGTTCATATTGAATCCAGGATGGGACCTCAAATGGTGAGGACCATTTGAGGAGTAAATGGAGTAGGGAGGCTCTTAAGGTAGTAGGACTTAAGTCTCATAACACCTGCCCTGCAGCACCACAGAAAACCTGGGCTTCCTCCACTCCTGGGCCTCGTTTCCTTCACTTGAGAGATGGCTATAAAAGCACTGCGCTTACGTCCACAAGAGATTGGCCATGCATGCTGCCATGCTTATTATAGTCAGCAGCTTCTATCTTTAGACTAGGATAATGCTCTGAGACCCAAAAAGAAGAATCTTGAGTTATTGATTTATTATATAAATATGATTTACTGTCATACTGATATATGAAGGGCAGAACTCTTCAAAATGGTGCCACCTGCAGGAATCAGGCATCCCTTGATTACTTGGTTTCAGAGCCTCAGCTTGTTGCAGGCATGCCTGTCCCAGGTCTGAGGAAAGCCTTTGAATAAGCAGTTTCTGGACAGATCAAACACACATCCTCTTTTCATGCTCATGCACAGTAGAGATGTGTAACCCTCTCTGGGGCCAACATTCCTAGTACCTTTTCCTTTGGGCTTGGGTTCCTAAATCCTATCCAGGGGAGCTGCTGCCCATATAGAATCTTCTCTAGCTCCAGTGTCTCCTGTACTGAGAGGCTATGCCCTCTGGTAACAATAAGCAGGATGCTGTGGCAGTAAGCTCATGGGCTTTTTCCCGAAAGTCTGACCCCTCTCTTCCCCCTCTACCCACAGGTGAGGCTTTCCCTGTTTCGGAGCACCACCAGCACACAGACCTCACTGCTCCCCCTAACAGCCCCACTGGCCACCACCCCCAGCCAGCATCTCTGATCCCTTCTCACCCCAGTTCCCTTGGCTCCCCACCCCACCCACACTTGCTGCCCACCACCCCAGCAGCACCTTTCCCTGCCCAGGCTTCAGAGTGCCCTGTGGCTGCTGCTGCTGTCCCCCATCTCCCAGGGCCATGTCAGAGCCCCCACGTACCCTCCACCAGCATGCCACTCCTGAAGATGCCTCCACCATTCTCGGGGTGCAGCCACCCCTGCAGTGGGCACTGCAGTGGGCATTGCAGCGGGCCTCTCCTCCCACCACCAGGCTCTCAGCCACTCCCTAGCACTCACAGGTAAGTGAACTGTGTGAAGACCACACTCCCTGCTCACTGGAACTCAAAAGAGTTTTGGAAAACTTTACCAAGGGTACCTTTGGAGTAAAAATTAAAAGGTAAATTGAAGTGGATAGTAGCTCAGTGGTAGAGTGTATGCTTGGCATGAACAAGACCCTGGGTTTAAGCCCCAGAGATGTGTGTACGTACATAGTAGTTGCTTTTTTTTTTTTCATTGTTTTCCGAATTATAAAGAAATTTTTTTTTAATTTGGAAAAAAAGTCCTTATAGCCTAAATTTCTTAAAAACTGTGTAGTTTTTCTTAATGTTTTAAGTATCATATCATGATCATTTCCCCAATTAAAATTCCTCCTTTTTTAAAAATTTATAAGTGTGCCTTACACAATGCTAGGCAGGCACTCCACCGCTGAGTTACAACCCCAGCCCTAAAATTCCTTTTTTTTTTTTGGTACCAGGGATTGAACTCAGAGGCACTCTACTACTGAGCCACATCCCCAGACCTGTTTTGTATCTTATTTAGAGACAGGGTCTCACTGAGTTGCGTAGCGCCTCGCTGTTGCTGAGGCTGGCTTTGAACTTGCGATCTTCCTGCCTCAGCCTCCTGAGCTGATGGGATTACAGGAATGTGCCATCACGCCCAGCTAAATTCCTCTATTAAGGACCACATACAACATCTTACTTTATAGCTCCAGTATAGTTTATTTTACCATTCTATTCTTAAACATGTAGGCATTTCCAGTTTTTTAACCAAGAGAAATAAGGTTATAATAAATATTCTAAAACTGTATTTAAATGTACCCTTTAGGAGATCCCTAGAACTCAACATAATTAAGAAATTTATATTAGTATATATTTGAAGTGAATTCTTGGAAGAAGGTAGATATATTTTTTAAATTTTTTTTTAGTTGTAGATGGGCATAATATCTTTATTTTTATGTGGTGCTGAGGATCAAACCCAGTGCCTCACCGGTGCGAGACCACTCAGCCCCAGCCCCAGCCCCAGCCCTAGATGTATATTTTTATAAGCCAGATCTATCTTAAACCAGATCTATGTTAATATGTATCTAGATTTTCCCATTCAAAAATCCCACTGCCCTGCTGCCACTACTTTTGATTTTTCCCTTTAATACCATGTGTCTTTCACATGGTATTAATGGCATCTATACAGATTTGCTGCTTCTGGTTTTCACTTAGCATTACCTCATCAGCATGTTTGTGTTCCTTTGTGGTGTTCTTAGCCTTCAGTGTTCAAGGCTGAAGAAAATTAACAGTAGTCACTTCACTGTTCTCTAGTTACTGAACATTCAGGTCATTCCACCATTTTAACATTATGAATAACATCTTCAAAGATGTCTTGGCCTCAAGTGTTTTCCCTTTTTTAGATTTTTCTCCACAGAAAATTCTTCAGAATGGAAAATTTTTCAGTTAAAGGGTATTTGGGTTTTTTCTTTGTTGTTTCTGAGGAGGGGTTTTTTGTTTTGTTTGGGTTTTCTTTTGGTGTTGCTGGCAGTCGAACCCAGGGCCTTTCATGTGCTGGAGAAATGCTCTACTACTGAGTTACATGCCCAGCCCAAGGAGGGTTCTTAATATGCATTGAAAAGCTGCTTTCCATAGGACTCTCCACGTTGATTCAACCACCAATAATAAGAGTCCTGGTCTCAGTACTCACAGGACCACTGGATATTTTAATTTTCCTAAAATCAGTTTGCTTATGTGACAAATAAACAGTGGTCAATTTGGAGTAAACTTCTGTAAGCACCACTGATGACAATTCCTCCACACTCCTTTTTAAATGCTTGCTACATTTTTTCCTGTCCTTTTCAGTAGCGGAGAGAGGTTGTGTTGGACTGCCCTGAGAACTGAACTTCCACACAGCTCCTGAAGCTCCAACCTCACTCTGGCTCCCTGACCACTTGAGCTTCAATCTGTTCTTGCAGCACTTCAGCTGCTGATGGAGCACTCCCAGCAGCTCAGGAGACTGAGGCAGGAGGGTTGCAAATTCAAAGACAGCCTCATCAACTTAGCAAGATCCTTTCTCAAAATAAAAAATTAAAATAAAAAACTGGACATGTAGCTCAGTGGTTAAGCGCCCCTGGCTTCAGTCCTCAGTACCAAAAAAGAAATACCATGCTGAATTTATAGTATCAGGCACAAGCAGTAGCTCTTAGTCTGTGGCCCAGGAGACACATTTGCTTTTCCTCAACTCAGTACTGCCTCAACTGTATTTAAGGCAGCTCCATTCACTGCTGCTGAGACCAAACTCAGGTCATGAGGACCTTAGAAAGTAAAAGGAAACACCTCACTGATAACCTGTGGGTGTGCCAGGAAAACCATCAGGCTGCTGATCGGTTCAGACAACTACTTACTGAGCACCTGCTATATACAGTGTTATTGTGCTACACACTGGATCCACAAATCGAAGTAGCACCGTTCCTGTCTGGAGGGAGTACACAGTGTTAAGAGGCAAATAAGCAAACAGATCATTATAGTAATACATGAAAACAGAATAAAGGTTTCCACATGATGCCCTGAGAAGGATGCATATGGTGGGCACAGGTAGGGGAGGCACGGGGAAATCTCAGAGGTTTGTATTTTTGATGGCCCTCAAGAGTAGTTCTTGTGAGAAGTGCAGATCTAGCAAGTAGAGGACAGTTGATGTGGCAGGTACAGGTTGTGGTGCCTCCCTAGACTCCTGTTGCCCACTCCTGCATTACCTTCCCTAACCTCTTCACCTATCTTTCTCCCTTGCAGCAGGGAGCCTGGGTGCAAGGGGCACAAGTTTGCACACAGCGGCCTAGCCTGCCAGCTGCCCCAGCCTTGTGAGGCAGATGAGGGACTGGGTGAGGAAGAGGATAGCAGCTCTGAGCGAAGCTCCTGCACCTCGTCCTCCACCCACCAGAGAGACGGGAAGTTCTGTGACTGCTGCTACTGTGAGTTCTTCGGCCACAATGCGGTGAGTGAGTCTGTCTGGGCTGAACAGGGCTGGGGGCCAGCCAAGGTGAGCAAAGGAGTACCCTGTTCTTCCCAGAGACCCCTCATCATGGTGATCATCACTGCGCTTGGACCCTGTGAGTCCTGGTGCTTGCATCTGCTCACTTGAGCTTCAGGGCACATTTATGAGGTTGGGGTTTTTTAACATTTTGCTACCTTTGCTCTTCTCGTGGTTTCTCTTAAGATTGACTTTTTTTCTTTAGGCAAAAGGAAAGGAAATGGCAGAGAGAAAGCTATGATTCTGATGAGTATGTATACGTGTGTAATCCCAGAGAAGTGAACGCTTGTGCGTGATGAAGGCAGAGTGGAAGCAAAAAGGCTCTCAGTTCCCCAAGTGTGACAGCCAGCCGAGGGACAGGCCGTGAGCACAGACGGCGCCAGGAAGGAGACTCAGATCAGAGTACATGCTGTCTCTGCACAGGGGAGAAAGCAGTTCAGAAGTCTCATAAGGTGAAGAGGAAAGGGCTGCCGGTTAGGGCAGAGCAGCTGAGGATAGGAGGAATGAAAGTAATTCAACTACCAGTTGCCTTTGTGCTAGGCGCTGTTATCCTCATTTTAGAGATGATAAAATTGAGGCTCACAAAGACTCAGTGACTCGCCCAAGGTCATACAACTTTCAAGTGATGAAGCCCAGGCTCAAACCTGCTAGCCTGGCTCCCCAGTCCATGCTCGCCCAGCTCTGCCCTGTTTCCTCCCACTCCCTTCACCCCTGGCTGTCTCGGCTCAGAGCCCAGGCATTTGGCCTCTGTGGCTGATGGTAGGGAGAACAGCTGTCTCGCTCCTCACCACATACTTGGTGCCAGCGGGTGGGAGTGCTATGGGCCTCCCAAGCCCAAGGTGTAATGTCAGCGCCTCCCCCTCCCCCAGCCACCCGCTGCCCCGACGAGTCGGAATTATACCGAGATCCGGGAGAAGCTCCGCTCAAGGCTGACCAGGCGGAAAGAGGAGCTGCCCATGAAGGGGGGCGCCCTGGGCGGGATCCCTGGGGAGCCCGCCGTGGACCACCGAGATGTGGATGAGCTGCTGGAATTCATCAACAGCACGGAGCCCAAAGTCCCCAACAGCGCCAGGGCCGCCAAGCGGGCCCGGCACAAGCTGAAAAAGAAGGTGGGTGTGGGGGGAGCTCAGCTCTACTGCCTTTCCTCCCTGAGGAGTCCCTCACCCCAAGCCCCAAGACTTCTGGGGCATGAATGGTGCTAGCTGCCAAAGGCCTTGGCACAGCTCACTGCTCTGGGAAGGTCTGAATGAGTTTGGGAGGCATTAGGGTCAGAGAGTTTGGGGGCAAGTGAAGTGGAGGAAAAATGTTTCTTGGCCTCAGAAGCTGCTTACTGGATTCCTCCAAGCCGAGGACTTGCTTCATTCGGTCATTTATTCATTCAGCAAACACTTCTATAAACAATGGGAGCCAAAGTGTGCTGCATTTAAGTTCTCGTCTGGGAGAAGCTCAGTCCACTGGGGAGACACAAAACTGGACAAGTACATATGTATGACAAGCACTGGAATGAGGGAAGCCCCCATCCTGCCTGGAAGTGGCTTTACAAGAGGCTGACTTGTGAGCAGAGTCATGGGGAGTGAGGACACATACATCAGGAGGGCCTCCTGGTAGCTGGCACAGCACATTCCACAGAGCTTGATAAAGCCAAAGCTGAAAACAGCAGAGAGGCAAGACACAGAGGAGGCAAGGGAGGGCCTCAGGTCCAGCTGAAGATGAGCTTTGCCTCCAGGTGAGGGAATATTACTGGACGGTTGTCATTAGAGAGTGTGCTTGAGATTTGTACTCTGATTGTGGTGTGGTGGTATGGAAGGTAAATTGAAGGGTGATAATTTAAGCAGGAAAGCCTAGAGTTTGATGCCCCAGCCAGGAAAAGACAAGCCAAGGGAGAGATAATTGAGGGTAGGGCAGCAACAGAAGAGAGAATTGCAAAAGAAGCAGAAGTGACAGGCCTGGGTGATCTGATGGCAGAATGATGGTGGTGCCTTTCACTTGAGCCAGGATGGCATTTACAGAAGACTGAATGCAGTTGGGTTACATTTTCTCAGAGGTTCCCATGAAACATCAGCATGGAGAAGGAGGTGCATGCAGGGTTAGGAGTTGCCAATGCAAAGATGTAATTGAAGCCATGGGATTGAAATGGTCCTCAGGGCTAAGGTTTGAACCTAGGGAGCTATTTCCGAGCAGCCCTGCTGCCAGGTGAGTCCCAGAGCTTGGTGGAGTATTCCCTGCAGCTTTATTACCTCTTTGTCCATGTGTTCCCAACTGCATCTGCACAGTGCCACACCCAGAGGAGTCCAACATCAAAGGGATTTAGGTTTGACAGTCAGCTAGTTCCTGTTCCTGGGTGGTCAAACAACCCTAGAGCTCTGGAAGGCAGAAGTGATTTCCAGCTTTCTCTAGCCCAAAGAATTACTAAGATCCTTCTGCAACTTGAAGTACTAAGCCAAGGAGTTCCACTGCTGCCTTCAGAAAATGGTCAGCACTTTTATGTTCCCATTCAAAGTTGCCAGCGAGAGATGTTCAGTAAGCTGCAGTGGTCTTTCTGGCCTCTTAAGGCAGCTGTCCCCAGTTAGGTCCCCAGAGGGTTTCCAGGCCTAGTGTGCTTCTAATGAACTTGTGCCCTTTCCCTTGACTCACCACACTGTTTACTCACCTTTTCTTCTTGATAAGCTGTCTCTGCAAGCTCAGTTCAGATGTTTTCCCCTCTGCTGACTTCCTGAGGGAATTCTTCTGCTATGCTCCCACCACACCTTGGACATCTCTCTCAGCTGCCATTTGTCACGATCTTTTCACTCATTCCAAAACTCACTGCGCAGCCACTGTCTGCTAGGCCCAGCCTAGAGGCCAGGACACACACAAACCAAGCATCCCTGCCCTCTCACATGTAAAATCATGGGGCCACAGGCAGGGACAGACATACATGGGCAGTTGCAATGTCAGGTCATTATCTGTTTAGACAGCAGTCTTCACCCTGAAGTCCCTCCACCTGCCAAAGTTAACCACAATCTGGCTGACCACCGAAACCCAGTTTCCCAGCAGCTAGATAGTGATGACTGCTTATTCACTCCCACTTTGGGAGTGTCTGTTTCCCATCCCACTTCCAGATCATGACCCTCTCACCTTTGTGTACTAATCCCTAATCTTTTTTTTTAATTTATTTTTTAGTTGTACACAATACCTTTATTTTGTTTATTTATTTTTATGTGGTGCTGAGGATCAAACCCAGGGCCTCGCACGTGCTAGGTGAGCACTCTACTGCTGAGCCACAACCCCAGCCCCAAATCCCTAATCTTTTGAAGCTGAATTCCTGGCCCCACCATTGTAACCTCCTCCACTGAATATTGTCACCTGATCCTTTCTCTTATGCCCACACCAATCTAGTATTCACTCTTAAACTGAGTAAGTATTGGTAAAAGAGCAAGTGAACTGTCCCCATCACTCTCTCTCTTGCCAGTACTCTCAATTCCTTGCCCTATTGCCCTTCTGTCAATACCTTCTCAGAAGAACTGCCCCTCCCCTTCTACACCCCAAAAATAGTACATGACCAGATCTGCCTGGGGCTCCTGGCCAGGTGTTCTCCCTTTGCCTGAGCCCCCACATTGCCTGGCCAGCTTCCATAGCTTCCTAGTCATCTTGCTCCACCTTATGCCCATTTGTATAGCCTCTTTGTCAGAATTCCATTCTCCAGCCTCCAGGTCCTTCATGGCCCCCTTCCCCTTATTTTTGGTAAATAACCACTTTCCATGTCAACAAGGAAAAAAAACATTGGACAGGCATTCTCAACTGATCACCCCACCTGCAAACTTAACTTTCCTCCTTTTTGGGAGAAGAGTTAGCCCTTTCTCACCCAAACCCATGTGGTCCTTTTTTGCCCCCTCAACCTAGCATGAGGCCACCTACTCTGGAGCTGCAGCCTCTTCTGGGATACTTCCCATTGCCTTTCACTGTGTCCACTGCTGTCATTTCAAAGCAGACTCTTTCTCAAGCTTGTAGCCTCTCCTGTATCTTTCCTCTCATCAAAGCCACCATTTCTTGAAAAACAATGTCTGTGTTTACTGTCTTCACCTCCCCCCTTGTCAGCTCACTGCAGATTGTTCTTCATCCCTTTGCAGAGTCACACTGATTTCTTTGTTGCCAAATTCAAATTCTGTTCATCCATTTAGCAACCTTTGACATTTTGTGTTTTCCTTTTCAAACTTTGTCTTTGGCTCCTCCGCCCTCAACCAAACAGGGCCAGGAAAGAAGCAATGGGAACACCATCTTCTCCAGTTTTCTGACCTCTCAGACCACTTTCTGTCTCCTTTGTGAGCACCTGGCCCTCCCACTTGAGTACATCTCCCTGGGAGAAGAAAGCTTTGGAGTTTGCACTATACTCCCTGCACTTCAGATTGACATCCCCTACTGCTACTGGGCTCTTCCTCACGGATGTCCCCCAGACACCTCAAACTCAGCAAACTGAGCTTGTTATCTTTCTCCATTGTCTCGTCAGTGGCACCACCACCCACCCTGATTGCTGAACCAAAGCTCACCTCTGAATGCCATTCTGGAGGAGTGCATTATACTGACAGAGCAGTGGGCCTTGCAGTTGGACCTCAGTTTGAAGCTCTGCTATGCCACACTTGCTGTATGACCTTGGGCAAATCACTTAACCTCTAAGCCTCGGTTTCTTCATCCATAAAATGAGAATAACAGGAGAACCTAAGTCAGATTATTGAGGATGAAATGGAGTGATGTACAAAAAGGTTGGGCAGAGTGCCTGGCGCATGTCAACGTTTGGTCTATGGAGGCTGCTGTAGCAGCCACAGTGGTTGGGCAGTGTTTTCTCAACACATCTCATTCTCTCCCTACCCAATACCAAAAGTCCTATCCAAGCGGCTTTCCCAGTTGCTCTAACCAGTCACTTCTTTCCACCTACCACCTCTACTTTCAAAGCCTTACGTGGCTGGTTGAACATTGTCCTTGGGCTCAAACCAGAACCCATTGTGGCCTGCAGGCTCCTTGGGATCCAGCCCCAGCTTAGCTTGCTAGCTTCATTTCTCAGCCTCTCCTCTCTCACCTGCCTTCCTAGCCCCTGCCCTTGCCCCTGCCTCAGCCCCTGTCCCACACAAAAAAAAATAAAATAAAATAAAATCTAGACTCTGATTGTACCTTTGAATGGTGTGTGTTCCCTAATGATACACTTTTCCATTTCCCAGCTTTTAGGCTTGCTATTCCTTCTGTCTAGAAAGTACTTGTCTCAACTTTCTCCAGGATGATTTCACTCATCCTTCGGTGCCTTCTCTAGGAAGCACTCCCTGGTGACCCAGTCTGGGATAGGAGGATCATTATCTCCCTGTAGCTCTGAATTAAACAGCCTGTTTATGTGTCTTCTCCCCCAGCTGAGCAAAGTAAGTGAGGCAGAGACCATGTATGGCTACATGCCCATCGCCTAGCCCACTGCCTCACAGTTGATGGTTAGTTAATGGTTGGCAAATGGAATTGAAAGCCATGGCAACTTCTGAAGATCATTCCTGGTGTATTATCCAAACTCTGTCATTTTACTAGCCACATAACCTGAGCTAGTTCTGTATTCTTCCCAAAGTCAAGATCAAGATTCTTCATCTATAAGTTGCAAATTGCAGTGCAGCAAGGATAGTAATAAAGATTAGAGGAGTCAGGTTCCTGGTATGTAGCAAAAGATGTGCATTGCTGTGCTTTCTCCTTCTGTTCATATCAGAGTGTGTGGTGCTAGTATGCTCCCTCCACAACAGTACATTTCAGATATTTTGGTTCAGCAGCAAGTTTTTTCTCTGCATGTAATCTTCCATGGACTCTCCTGTCTATAACAACTAAAAGCAAAGCTGTGCTGGTATAGGGAAGCAATGAGGGGAAAGGGCCTCTGGGCCCTTGGCCATCCCATGGCCTCCAGGCCCTACACACAGCTAGAAATCCTGCTTCAGGCTATACTGTTGCTCACTTGATCCTCCACTACCAAGGCACAGCCTTAGCACTGGGGAAGGAACTTGGCACAGACTTTTTCTCCCTAATAGATGTACATCTGTGTAGTAGGTGTACTACTTTTTCTCCCTAAGTCACAACCTGGAAGGTTAGGTTCAGAGAGAGTAAGTTATTTGTCCAAGGTCCCCAGGAATAGCTGACCTTAGTCAGTAATAGAGCCAGTGTTCAAAAGAGATGAGAGAATAAATGCCTGCCTGCTAGGACACAGGGTCACCCACTTTTAAGTTGACTCTTAAGGTGGTGGCAAGCTCTCCTTTTTTGTCCTCAGATTCATTTTTCTGCTTTTTCCCCTTCATTCCCAAATCGAAGGAAAATACTGAGGTGGTGCTCTACCACCACATTCTTCCCAAGGGTTCTCCTCCCTGCTTCCTATCTCCTTCTAAAGACCTTATTTGCCTGCTGATGCCTTGAAGTGGGGGTGATGGCCAACAAATTGATTATTCTCCAGATGTGAGTCCATCAAAGCTTATTGCAAGGTCTCAGAGCCTCCCTGGGCTGAGGGACTGCTTTTACATGTTCATGCCATGGCCTGGTATGGCTGTCCATGTATGCCATTGGGCACGCTTTGAGTGTGGCCTCAAGTCATTGAGGCCAGCATAGTCATGAGAAGCATTTCTGTTGGAAGGGCACTCAGATGTAGCATCAGGAGGGCACATGCATTCCCAGCCACCCAGAGCAATCACATCTTCCTTCCTTTGAGACTGTATAATATGACTTTTCCCCTCCCACCTGCAGAATTGGAGAGACTGCCTCTCCAGCAGCCATGTTCCTCACATGAATCCCCATTTTGGTCTTCAGAATTATTGTCCCCATTTTGATGAGTCCACAGGGACCCAACTGGTAAGTATATGAGTTGTTCAAGTTCACACACAACTCAGGCCAGGGAGGCAGAACCTGTCTCTTTGAGTCCTAACCTTCTTAGGCTGTAGGACCAACACGGGCTTGGTATGAACAAACTATAAAAACCTTACTCTCTGGGGAGGGCAAACCTGTCTGATCACATTTCACCCTCATTCCGGCAGTGTCAGGGAACAGGCCAGGATTGTGAGGCTGTGTCTCCAGCAAATTAGTGGCAAAGCTGGGTCCCAGACCGATGTGTCCAGTGTCATATTGTGTCTGATAGCTGACAGACCTCTGCTGAAACTGCCTCTTGTATTGGCAGGAAAAAGAGAAGGCCCAGTTGGCAGCAGAAACTCTGAAGCAGGCAAATCGTGTTTCTGGAAGCCAGGAGCCAAGGCCTGCCAGGGAAAGGCTCTTGGAGTGGCCTGACCAGGAATTGGATCGAGTCAACAGCTTCCTGAGCAGCCGTCTGCAAGAGATCAAGAACACTGTCAAAGACTCCATCCGTGCCAGCTTCAGTGTGTGTGAGCTCAGCATGGACAGCAATGGCTTCTCTAAGGAGGGGGCTGCTGAGCCTGAGCCCCAAACTGTATCCCCCTCAAACCTCAATGGCTCCTCAGAACAACGGCCTGACATCAACCTTGACCTGTCCCCTTTGACTTTGGGCTCTCCTCAGAGCCACACGTTACAAGCGCCAGGTGAGCCGGCCCCACCGTGGGCAGAAATGAGAGGTCCCCACCCACCGTGGACAGAGGTGAGGGGCCCCCCTCCTGGTATCTTGCCTGAGAATGGGCTAGTGAGGAGACTCAACACCGTGCCCAACCTGTCCCGGGTGATTTGGGTCAAGACGCCCAAACCAGGCAACCCTAGTTTTGAGGATTCAAGCTCAAAGGAGGTCCCCAGTTGCAAGCAGGAGCTGCCTGAGCCTGTGGCCACAGGTGGGAAGCCACGGAAAGGCAAAAAACAGGGTAGTCAGGCCAAGAAGAACGAGGTGAACCTAGCCTCCCATCCTCCAGCCAACACAGAGGTTCCCAGTGCCAAGAGCCAGATGTCTGGCCCCAAGCAACCAGGCAAGGCCCCAGAGCTTCCCAACACAGGCAGCTGTGCTGAGGCTGCAGAGGGCAGCCGAGGGAGCCGGCCAGTATCAGGTTGGGCTGACAGCCCCAAAACTGAGAAGGAGAAGGGCAACTCCTGGCGGAACTGGCCAAGTGAGGTCAAGGCACGTCCTTCAGAGCTGGAGTCTGTACAACCCCCAGGCTCAGCAAGGCCACAGAGCTTACCCCAGGGCAAGAGCCGCAGCCGCAGGAGCCGCAACAAGCAGGAGAAGTCAGCCTCCTCGTTGGGTGAGTGCACCAGGAACCAAATGGCTGGCCCCGCACCCCCCAACCAGGCCACAGGGTGGAGGGCAGTCCTCGTGTATGGGCAGTGCTGCCCCCCAGAGCATGACCCCAGAGGCTTGGCTATGGGCACTGAGCCCTCCTGGCTCTGTCTTCCTAGACGATGTGTTCCTGCCTAAGGACATGGATGGGGCGGAGATGGATGAGACTGACCGAGAGGTGGAGTACTTCAAGAGGTAGGTGTGGGCTCACAATTCTCCCACTTTGCAAGGGGAGCCCTTGCCTATACCCAAGTCCCATGTTGTAACTTGAACTTTAGAAAGGCCTACTCCCTGATTCTTTGGGGTACCTCACTAACCCTCCAGGCCCTGCCACCTAGCTGGTCTGCTGGAACCTAGGGAGCCACTTTCCAGAATGGAACATCTAGGAAGGAGCAAGGCATAGGGAGGATGTGACACATCAGGCACCCCCAGATCTGGGCTTTTTCCAGCTTTTATTCACTCTTTAGTCATTTATATTTCCTCTACCATGCCTGGGCAATCTAGACAAGGAGAGATCGAGAAGTATACAGCACAGTGATCAGTGCTATTAGAGGTGTAAGAGCATGAGGGGGTACAGGATGGGAAGAGGATGAGGGCTTCAAACCAAGCTGGGGAGCAGAGGCAGGCCAGGAAGCTTTCCTAGGAGAGGTGATACCCAAGCTGAAACCTGAAAATTAAGACTGAGTTGGCCAGGGAAAGCATAAGGCATTTGAAGTGTGGCCAGGGTATACCAAGGTCTGAGGGTAAGGGAAACAAGCATACTTAGAGAAATAGAAGCCCACCCCATATGTTAGAGAATGAACTATGAGGTTAGGAAGGAGCTTGAATCTCAGGTGGGGGTGGTCTTCCTGTCCCCCGGCCTCATGGGCAGTGATTCTTGAGCCAGCAAAGCTCCCATGCCTGCCAGACCCTGATACTTGGGAGCACAGAGGTTGTGTTACATCAGCTGGTTTCTTAGTGGAACACCTAGTGTCTGGAAGAGGGGTCCAGCGAGGAAGGGAGGGAACCTCTGATAGGCTTCTTCCTGTCTCCCAACAGGTTCTGTTTGGATTCAGCAAAGCAAACTCGTCAGAAAGTTGCTGTGAACTGGACCAATTTTAGCCTCAAGAAAACTGCTCCCAGCACAGCTCAGTGAGGTAGAGACCCCAGGTTACTTGCATCCCCTGTTCTCTGCCATCTTATGTGCCCATTCTCTGCTTTGGGCAAGGGGTTTGGATTTGGGGCTTGTTGGCCGTGGTCTCTGTACCTCTACAACAACCCTACATAAGCCAGTTGGCAGTGTCCAAAAATCTAGACCCTGTCTCTTTTCCTGCAGCCACTCAACCCAGGCCTCTGTTGCTGCACTACTACTTTCTGGCAGACCCTTCTCCTGCAGGGTCCCTTCACAGACTGCCATCCCTGGGCTATCACCACCAAGGTTTAAGCTCTCTACCAGCTGCCAGGCAGCTGCAGAACCCCTGGGGCTGCCCTCGCTCCTTAAACAATCAGGCCTTGGGTTTGGATCCCACTTGCTTAGCCTGGTTCTTCAATGCAGATGATGAGAGTGGCTTCCAGCTGAAGCAGTGTGAAAAGAGAGCCAGCCCCAAGGGAGCAGTGAAGGGCAGATGAGTGAGAACAAGGATTTGTAGATATGGAGGAATTTATTGTAGGAAAAGTCCCCTGAAGAAGAAAGTAACCAAGCTGCCTCCAGGAAGAAGAGACCCAGCCTCCAGATGGCTCTGGCTTTCCCTCTAACTCCCTGCATAGTTCCTTTTGTCTATTTTTTTATTTTAATTTTTAAATTTTTGGTTCTGGGATTGAACCCGGACACTTTACCACTGAGCTACATCCCTAGTTATTTATTTATTTATTTTAAAAATTTTTTAATTTTTAAAAATTTTTTAGGTATAGATGGATACAACACAATGCCTTTATTTTTATATGGTGCTGAGGATCGAAACCAGGTCCCTCCCGTGCTAGACGAGTGCTCTACTGCTGAGCCACAATTCCAGCCCCAGTCCATTTTATTTTTTACTTTTAAACAGGGTCTTGTTAAATTATTGAGAGTCTTGCTAAAAATTGCTGAGGCTGGCCTCGTATTTGCGATCCTCACATCTTGACCTCCCACATCTCTGGGCTTATATATACCACCACATCTGGCTGGTCTGAAATATTGACATTGTTTGATATTAGACTGGGTACACACCCTAGGAGAAGGCATTTGTCTGAGAACTTAGTGCAGAAAAGGGCAGCTGGCAGGTGCACCTTAGTGCTGGGCTTGGGGCCTTGCAGTTGTGTACTTTCCTGTCTTAACCCTGAGTTGTGCCCCTGGGGTAACTATACACTTACCCTTCAAGACGGTGGAAAGCTGGGGTAGGTAAGCTGAGCTCATTACCCCCACCCCTGTTCTTCTCTTTCCAGTGCCAGAACAACTCTCTGGGCTGAAGTAACAGGCTTCCTGGACCCTCAGCTCCCTAGGGACAGCCTGGAGAACCTGAAGCCAAGGCAGTCTTCAGGGCTGCACTCGGTGTGGCATCCTTGTGCTGTCTCTACCTCAGGACTATCTTATTTAGACTCCCCTCAGCCCTCTGCTGGGGATGCTGTGCTCCCTGATCTACAAGATATCCATACCCTAGGATCATCTTCCAGGGTTAAGGTGTCTTCCTGCCTCTTTTCCACCTCCACAGAATCAGGAGTAGCAGAGACCCAGGCACTTCATCTGTTATTTTCCTAATGAGAAAAAGGGTCACATCTCCCATAAACCAAATTCCACTGTCATTCAGGAAGCCATATCCAACCATCTTCTCCCACCTTGGCTGATCTCTAAAACATGCTCTATGCATGAGAAAGCAGTGCTGGCATGGACTTGGGACCTAGCCCAGGCTGTGTCCCTAGAGCCTAAGGCAGGAGAGTACAGAGCTGGCTTTGTCTAGTACCTGCCAGTGGGAGAGCAGATAACTAGTAGCTACTTAGCTACTTAGTCCTGGCCCAGAAGAGTATTCTGCAACAGGGGTCCTAAGATCCTCAGAAACTATCCCTCACATGCCAGAACCCCAGCCCAGGACTAGGGTTCTTTGCCTCCCACCCGCCAATAGGGTCTTTTTTTTTTTTTTAAGAGAGAGAGAGAGAATTTTTAATATTTATTTTTTAGTTCTCTGCGGACACAACATCTTTGTTGGTATGTGGTGCTGAGGATCGAACCCAGGCCGCACGCATGCCAGGCGAGCGCGCTACCGCTTGAGCCACATCCCCAGCCCTGCCAATAGGGTCTTAACCTTCTTCTTCTACTCGAGGTGATCCAGGGAATCTATTCAGCATTTTCAGCCTAAGGAACAAAAATAGGAGACCATTGTTCTTACCTCCACAGGGACCCAGAGTCCGTGTGGTCGGGCGTGCACTGTTCTCACTGTGATCCTACTCTTTTATTCTTTCTCAGCCCTGCCTAGGTCAAGCTTCTTCAGGGCATCCTGAGGCCCCGACTGCCAGCTGAAGGTCTACAGTTTTTCCTCCCACGTGTCCTGCCCACCTGCCCTGACCCCTCCCTGCTCCTGCCATCCTGGACCAACCAAACGCTGAATGGATGCTGTGCTGTGCAAGAGTCCCTCAGGACCTCGGCAGAGCCGCTTCCTGGTGCTATGCAGCCTCCACACTCAGAACCTGGGGACTGGGCTGGCCTGTGCTGTGGGCCAGGGGCTGATGGTACTGCTGGCCCAACACTGCTCTCTTTGTGTTCAGTTTTTTGTTTTTGTTTTTATTTTATTTTTTTTCAATTCTTTACTTTTGATACTGTGAAGATCTTTCATGCTGAAAGATAAAGCAACATTTGGACACAGAGTTGATGTGAATGGTGATTTGCTGGTCTGGGTGGGGGGTGGGGTGACAAATACACTCAGAAGCATGGGATCACCTTAGTCACTAATCCATTGTCAGCAGTTTGTCCTGGTTTCTATTAAATCCTTAGAATTCTTCAAAGCAATCCTAAATGGAACAGTTAGTCCATTTTACAGTTGAGGAAAGTGACTCCACTGAACTCTGACCAAGCAGGACTGAGCAAAGGCCTATGTAACTGTGGGGTCTGTGCCCTTTCCTCCTGTTGGAGGGACTGTGGTATGTGAGTTTGAAGCAGCCCCTCCCAGCTGTATGTCTCAGCTTGCCCCTTGACAAGATGGGTGATCTGTAAGTTAGATGTGGTCTTTCTGCATGCAAGGGTCTAGGAAAGATCATGGGCCTCTATGGACAGTGCCCAATAGCCTGGCAAGTTACAGGTTCCTTACGCTGCCTTAATTTAGTCAGGGAAAGTTGAGGGTAAAATGATTTTTTATAAATTAGATCTGATTTCCTAGAGGGAATGGGATATGTAGTCTAAGATAATGAACCAGTCTGTAAAGTCAAGCAAACTGTCTCATCCCCCAAATGGACAGAGGTGTTTTGGAAATTCAGATTTAAATATGTATATCCTAAAATGACTCACATATATTTATGTCCAAGTACTCTATCTCCAAAGTAGTTTTTGTTACTAAAGCCAACTCTTAACTTGAGCTTATGTGGGGTGTTCTGTGTCTAGAGGAGAGTTCTATAACTGGCAAGAAGGCTCATGGAGCTTTATAAACAGGACCAGAAATCACAACCTCCCCTCTCCACCCCCAGGTTGAGCCCCACCATGATACTGCGTGAATGTGTTTTCTAAAGAAGGGAAACAGCATTTGACCACGTGCAAGCAATTCCTGGTCCCTGATTTGTTCCAGTCTCTGAGGAAGTGTGAACACTTCCTTGTGAAACCTTTCTCTTATAATTATTTGTGTTCCTCTTCCTGCCATTCTTGTACCAAGCTCCTGCCTTAAAGTTGAATTAGCATAGCTGTCCAAAATGTGGCTCCATCATGCCAAAAAATGAAGACCTGATCAAGTAGTCCGTTTGCTTACAGAGAAAAGCTTATGTGAGTGGCATTCAGGGTCTTTTGTGCCTGGATGCCCGATGCTTAGCACTCATCCCAGCCATGCAGTTTCTAGTTAGGCTTACTACCTGTAGGATTCCAACATTTTTTTTTTCTCATCTTTCCCTCTTCCCCAATTATCTTCCTTCATAAATTCCTATTAATCCCACATCTCAGATGAGAAGCCATTTGTCCTGCCTTTTTTCCAAACATGGTTCGTTTTCTGCCTTCTCAACTAACCCACAAAACATCTCACATGCCAAGTGTATTGCCTTGTTCATCCTTTATATGCTTCAGCACTATGCACAGTGCCCAGCATTTACTCCTATTAAACATGAATGAAGGAAACCATGTTATTCCTCTTTACTAGTCCCCAATGAAATTGAATTTATAACTTAACAGTCACTGCCCTGCAACATCTGGGCCCAGTATCCTTTTCCTACCATGTCCCTGGTTACCCCGGCCTCTTACCAGCCATGGTGATCTCTTTATTCCCTGAAGAATGTATGTACTTGCACATAACCAGACCTTTACTCCTGTTGTACTCTTGCTCAGGAAGCCTCTATTTTCCACTCCCTGCAATGAGATTCCCACACTTCCCTGGAAACTCAAATCCAGTGTTTGCTCTAAGTCTTCTAGTTGGTCACTCTGATCTCTATTATAGGATTTACAACAGTCATCATTTACATATTTACAGGGCCTCAATTAAAAACCACTGTCATCAGGATTTTATTTATCCCTCACCACTCACTGCGTGGTCTCATAGATGAAACCAGTCAGAGCGGTTGTGGGTGTTCAGGGTCATTTATTCATCAAGCCCCACCCTGCTCCTGTGGAGACAGTGGCAGGATCCCAGCTTGCCAGATCCGGGAGCCCCGGGTCACTAGAGGGCTTAATGTTCGCCGGCCACGGCGTACTAATGGCGTCATGCTTTAGGTCTGGCTAGGTTAACCTGGCAGGCTGCCCTTCTCCCTTCCGGGTCAGTCTCCACTGGGAGTCTTCTTCTGGATGGGTTTGAACCTTTGCGCATGCTCCAAATCCTCCAGTGTCCTACGCGTCGTACCTGATGTCTTAGGCTCTGGCAACAGTGGCGTAGCCACTCACAACCCCGCCCCCACCTCCTGAGGAAATTTGTCCCTCTGCGCGATCCGGCTCTCCAAGATCGTTGCTAGGCGCCGACGTCCGCTTCTTCTCATCGGATTGGATCTCGCTCAAAGATGAGGCGTGGTTTTGCCGTGGCGCGCATGCGTGCGACAAAGGATGGAGGAGTCGGAACCCGAGCGGAAGGTGGGAACGAGGCTGGGGCCCACGCGGGTGGGGAGCGGGAGTGAAGGTGGGGGCGATGTGGAGTTCGGGTCTAATTCGCTTGTGTCTGTAGCGCGCCCGCCCGGACGACGCGACCGCAGGAGGAAGCCGCTCCGAGGATGAGGATGAGGACGATGAGGATTACGTGCCCTATGTGCCGCTGCGACAGCGCCGACAACTTCTGGTGAGGGATCAGGGTCGGAGGAGGAATGGGGGCGTGACCACCGGGTTTCATTGGGATTGGAGGAGGCGCTGGCCTTCCCCAAGTTCCGAGACGATCTGAAAACTAAGTTTCTGTACACGGGAGCAAAGTAAGGACTGGCGATCCGGCCTGAGGAGTAAGGCAGTCTGCGCCTCCAGGCACAGGTCCCACACTCAAAAGCCCGGATCCTGATGCAGTCTCCCCGGGGACCATGCTACCCTCGCCCCGAGACAGACAGACAGACACACACACACACACACACACACACACCACTTTGGACTTGATTCTGAGAGACACTGGTGGAACCACAGCTCCAGAAACTGCTGCAGCGAAGACGCAAGGGAGCTGCAGAGGAAGAGCAGCAGGACAGCAGCAGTGAGCCCCGAGGAGATGAGGACGACATCCCTTTGGGCCCTCAGTCCAACGTCAGCCTCCTGGATCAGCATCAGCACCTCAAAGAGAAGGCTGAAGGTGGATTGGGCAACACTGCCTGGACAGGGAGGAGGTACAAACCAAGCTTAGTGCCTTATTTTGGTGTCTCACATCTTCGGGTTCTTTCCTCAGCACGCAAGGAATCTGCTAAGGAGAAGCAACTAAAAGAAGAAGAGAAGATTCTGGAGAGTGTGGCTGAAGGCCGAGGTAGGGTTGTAGCTAGGACAATAAGGAGGTGGATTGAACCATCTCCCCGCAACCCCAGGCATTTAATATCTATAGGATCTGGCCTCTGGGAAACAGGAGCCAGCCCTGAGTTATGTTTGTTTTCTCAGCCTTGATGTCAGTGAAGGAGATGGCCAAGGGCATTACATATGATGACCCAATCAAAACCAGGTATGTCTTTCCAGACTGTTCAGTTGCCCATACTTAGGATGGTGTGTGGCTGAGACTAGCAGTGACACCCCAAGCCCAGCTGTTCCAAGGCCTCTGTTGAACCCTACCACCCACCCACAGTTGGACACCACCCCGTTACGTCCTGAGCATGTCTGAAGAGCGGCATGAACGAGTTCGGAAGAAGTACCACATCCTGGTGGAGGGAGATGGTATCCCACCACCCATCAAGAGCTTTAAGGAAATGAAGTTTCCTGCAGGTATCTGGGAACAGAGAGGAAATGCTACATTTTTCTAATCGAGTCTTGGTGAGGTGTGCCTTAGCCTCCACTGAGCTCAGCATTGTCCGTGTTGAGTCCAGACAATAAGAATGGAGAGATTTAAAAAAGGATATCCTTAGGCTTATTTTTCAACTGTCCCAACTGTATATGTTCTCTGTCTTCTGTAACAGAGTTTCACTGGGAAACTGCTATTGGGTTTAGATAGCTGTGGGTGTGAATACTGGCTCCAGCAAGCCCATTGGTATTGGACAAGTCTCTCTTCCTTTCTCTCCCTGAGCCTGTTTCATCACTTGCAGCTTGTGGGGTAGTGCTGATCTTACAGGCTCTAGGACTCTGATAAAGCACTTGCTGTTTCCCACAGCCATCCTGCGAGGCCTAAAGAAAAAAGGCATTCTCCACCCAACACCTATTCAGATCCAAGGTATCCCTACCATGTGAGTATGGACCATGGACTTGGGGTCCCTGAGGAAAGCAGTGACAGGGAGAAGCAATAACCGAGTGTCTGACTGGAGAAGTAGTTGCTGTTTCCTGCTGGACCTGGCCCTCAGGCTATCTTCTCCTACAGTCTTTCGGGCCGGGACATGATTGGCATTGCCTTCACGGGGTCAGGCAAGACGTTGGTGTTCACACTGCCCGTCATCATGTTCTGTCTGGAACAAGAGAAGCGGTTGCCTTTCTCTAAGCGTGAGGGGCCCTATGGACTCATCATCTGCCCCTCGGTAAGATGGGCTGGACTGGAGGGCAGGGTAGAGACTGGGATCACCTGGTGCCAGCTTTATCTTTGTGCCTACAGCGGGAACTGGCCCGGCAAACCCATGGCATCCTGGAATATTACTGCCGCCTGCTGCAGGAGGACAGCTCACCTCTCCTGCGCTGTGCTCTCTGCATTGGGGGCATGTCTGTCAAAGAGCAGATGGAAACCATCCGACAGTACGTACAGGCACCCCTGCCCCACACCTCTCCACAAAATCCCCAAAGAAGCTTAATTTAGCCATTTTGCAGATACTCACAGAAGTCTCCTGTTGGGGCCCAGCTCTTAAGGACCCTACAGTCTTATGGGGAGGTGGATTGAGGTGAGACAGAGACATATGGCCAGGTACTGTGGGAACACAGTAAATGGAATGGCCTAGGCATCTTGAAGGTAGGAGGTCAGAGAAAGCTCTGCAGGAATGGTGGTATTTGAATTTTGAAGAGAAGCAGTTCAAGCAGAAAACACAGAAGTAGGGATCAGGGGTGTCCAGAAAAGTCAGGGTTGTTCATTGCAGTCAACCAAGGAGGCTGGGGCACTAGATCAAGGATAGATCAGAGTGGCATGCCCTTTCCACACAGTTCAGACCACATAGACGTTGCCAGATGTCATGGACCAAGCCTTGGGGTCACTGATGGGCCAGACCCCATTCCTATTTCTGAGGCATTTTCAATCTTGGGGAAGATGCAGGCGCAGAAAAGATGAAGTCAGTACTGGGAAAGTGAGCCAAGCAAGCCTCCAAGGGGGCTGTAGGAGCCTGGGGTAAAGCCTCTGCAGGGTTTCAGTATAGCTTTCCTGGGGCTAGGAGAGTGACCTGAGAAAAGGAGGAAGGTGTCTCAGGCCAAGGGCTGGCAAGAAAGTTGTAAGCCCTTTATTTTATTTTTATGTGGTGCTGAGGATCGAACCCAGTGCCTCGCGTGTACTAGGTGAGCGTTCCACCACTGAGCCACAACCCCAGCCCCTGCAGGCCCATCTTATATGCCGTATGTACAGGGCAGAATATGGAGAGTAACAAGGAGAGGACAGGGGAGGAGAGTGAGGAGAGAAATCCTAGAGCAAAACAGAGGCAGGATGCCATCTCTTGGTAGGTGATAGGCAAGTAGCCCCAACCTCAGGGTCTCTCCTTGGTTCTCAGTGGTGTACATATGATGGTGGCCACCCCTGGACGCCTCATGGATTTACTACAGAAGAAGATGGTCAGCCTAGACATCTGTCGCTACCTGGCCCTGGATGAGGCTGACCGCATGATTGACATGGGTTTTGAGGGCGACATCCGCACCATCTTTTCCTACTTCAAGGTGCCTCCCCCGACCTTTCCAGGGATTCCTATACTGCCCCCCACCCCATGCATACCACATTCAATTATGGAGGGCCCTGAGCCTCTGCACTGCCCCATCCTCTGCTCCTACTTCAAGGGGGCTATATCCCAGCTGCTTAGTATCCCCAGAACTTATCCCCTACACATCTTGGCCCATCCCCACCAGCCCTGCATGCTTCAGCCCCAGCCTCCACTCTTCCTCAGGGCCAGCGGCAGACTCTACTCTTCAGTGCTACCATGCCAAAGAAGATTCAGAACTTTGCCAAGAGTGCCCTGGTAAAGCCTGTTACCATCAATGTGGGGCGTGCTGGGGCCGCCAGCCTGGATGTCATTCAGGTGAGCAGGCATTCTTGGTGAACAGTCTCTCACCTGTGAGGACTGCATCTGGTGAAACTGATTGGAAAAGGGGTTCACTTCATGTTAATTGGAACCCCTTGCTCTTAGGGGTTCCGGCTCTTGGTGGCAAGAGGCATCTGGTTATCTCCTGGCTCAGATTAGAAACCCAGCCTTCTTTGGCAGGGTCGTGGCCAATGACCCTAACCTTGAGATCACCTGACCTGGCCTCTTTCTGGCAGGAGGTGGAATACGTGAAGGAAGAGGCCAAGATGGTATACCTGCTTGAGTGCCTGCAGAAGACCCCCCCTCCTGTGAGTGCAGCCAGTCCAGGCTAGTGCCAGAGTCCCAGGACAAAGAAGAGGGTAGTAGGGACTGCATGCTGGGGTAAAGTTGGAGGAATACCCTGTGACTAGAGTTGGCCTTCCTGTATAGGTGCTCATCTTTGCAGAAAAGAAGGCTGATGTGGACGCCATCCATGAGTATCTGCTGCTCAAAGGAGTTGAGGCTGTTGCCATCCATGGGGGCAAAGGTCAGGACAGTGCATGCATTAGCATGAACCCTGATGCTATAGCAACCCTTCACCCATCGCTTCCCCTGCCTGACCTGCTTGCTTCCAAAACTCCCACCGTAACTCTGATAGCTGCTGCCTGACCCTCCCTAGACCAGGAGGAACGGACCAAAGCCATTGAGGCATTCCGGGAGGGCAAGAAGGATGTCCTGGTGGCCACAGATGTGGCCTCCAAAGGCCTGGACTTCCCTGCTATCCAGCACGTCATCAATTACGACATGCCTGAGGAAATCGAGAACTACGGTGGGGAACTTCAGGGACCAGGGGTGTGGGGTAGACAGAAGGACCAGGCCAGGTCCCCACCCTGGTGCAGTGAGCTAGAGGCTCTGTCCTTCTCTTTTCAGTGCACCGAATTGGCCGCACAGGGCGCTCAGGAAACACAGGCATTGCTACGACCTTCATTAACAAGGCCTGCGGTGAGTCTGTGAGCAGAGCCCAACTCAGCTGTCCCCCAGGTCCTCCACCTACGGCTACCCAGGTTCTGACTGTGGGACCCAGGGTAGGGCTTGATGGTTCTTCTTTCCCCCTAGATGAGTCAGTGCTGATGGATCTCAAGGCCCTGCTGCTAGAGGCCAAGCAGAAGGTGCCACCTGTACTACAAGTGCTGCACCCCGGGGACGAGTCCATGCTGGACATTGGAGGTGAATGCTGAGCAGGCGCAAGTTCTCTGGGGTTGGGGGCAGAACACCACAAAACAAATCCACACTAGATATTGGTGGACTAGGGGGACCTAATTGGGAGAGGGGAAAAGGTCCAGGGCCTGGATTCTGACCCTGTGACTTTGCTGACCCTGCCCCATCCCTCCAGGAGAACGTGGTTGTGCCTTCTGTGGGGGCCTGGGCCATCGGATCACTGACTGCCCCAAACTTGAGGCCATGCAGACCAAGCAGGTCAGCAACATTGGCCGCAAGGACTACCTGGCCCACAGCTCCATGGACTTCTGAACCGTCTGTCTTCCCTTCTTATCTCCAAGAGGCCTCAGTTCCAGGACTCAGCCACCCTGTGTGCACACAGACACCAGCCCCGTGGACAAGAAGCCAGCATCTTGGCCCAGCTGGCCTGGGCTGTTCCTTGTACCCCAGCCACCCCAAAATTACTATTTTTGTTCTCCTTCCCTTCAGCTGTCATTAAAGCACAAGCCCCCTCTCTCAGCCCTAGCCCTGCCTCTGTGTCTCTGCCGTCAGCCCCCTGAATCCTGGACAGGCCTCCCCTTCCAGCCTCCAGCAGCCCTCCTACTCCCCCTCCCAGCACCTACCCTCATGTTGGCTATGGAAGGAAATGCCAGTCAGTGTCCCTTCTGGGTGCTCAGACGTGTGGGGACCATGAATCACAGAGGGGCCAAGGGGAAACAGCTGAGCCTCTGGTCCCCCTGGCTGGCTGGCTTAACTGTCAGCCTCTCTCTTCCTGTCAATTTATGTTTCTCTGGGGGCTTCTGGAACCCCTTGGCAGGCTGCTTCCTGCTTTGCCCCTGCCTGCCTGTCAGAAACACTTGGTTCCATTCACCAAGGAGGCAGTAGATACCACAGGACTGCCAATCAGGCCACAAGCACCCTATGGGGGCTGCAAAGACCCAGACAAGCCTGGCAGAAACCTGCCTGGAAAGCCCACAGGAAGGCAGGAGATTCATATGCAAGTAAAGGTCGGTCTCCATCATAAGACTGCCAGCAGATCAACCTGGATTTTCATATCTAGCAAGAGGAGGGCGGAAGAACAGTACAGCAGCGGCTGTGTATTGCACAGTTCCTCTGCCAGGAACTTTGTGAGCAAGGCCACATGCTTATCCCAGCAGGACAGTGCTTGCTCAACCCTGTTTGTTGCTTTGTGTGTGGCCTCCAACAAGTTACTTAATATTTTTGAGCCTTGATTTCATAATTTTTGAAATTGCGATGAGAATGCAAAGGATGTGGTGTTTGAGGCTCCTAAAGCTCAGGGCTATCTGGACCACAGTGGGCACAGAACCAGGTACTAGAAGGCCCTAGAAGATCTATTCTGGCCAAATGTGACCCCCAAAGAGCATTCTTCAGTTTGGTTACAGCATTCTTTCTGGAGGTTGCTTTGAATGACATGGGACTGTCCCTAGAATTCTGATGCACACACAACCCCAATACTAGTCTCCAGCAAGGCAAGACAAAAATAAAAAGCCAGGCCCCTGACAGGAAGCAAAGCTTTAAAAGAGCATGTGACCTCCCTGGGGAGCCCACTGGGGATCTACCCCCACACTCACATGGTTAGGGCCCATTAGGGGTATGGATCCCATGAGGACTGGCTGCCTGATAGGAGGGCTGCTGTGCTCTCCAGACTAGTGACCAGGCAAGGCCGCCAAGAGGAGGAGGCAGCCTACTGCCCCAAGCAGCACAGTGGTGAGGGGTTCCCTGGAGGGGTTGGTCTGTGGAGAAATGAGACTCAGGGGAAGTGAAGGCCAGAACACACAAGCACCTGAGTGCTGGGGAAGAGGAAAAGCAGAGTTGGTGTGGGTTGGTGGAGAGTCAGATGGAGCAAGGGCTATGAAGATGGGGAGTCAATGAAAATTAGAAATATTCCAGACAGAAGTAGAGAGGACAGGGTGAGACAGTCTCAGGCAAATCTAATGGTACAAACCAGGACTTGGTGGAGGGCCAGGAGTTCACCAGTCTGGTGAGAAGAAGGTCCCAGGCTAGGAGCAGACTGTGTAGCACCGGCCCGATGGGGGAAGCATTGGAGCTCATGACTCAGGGCAGCCAGGCTGTGGTCAGTTGCTCATACCCAGCTGACCCAAATGCCAACATAGGGGTCACTTGCTCTCAGGTGGCCTGAGGCTCTCGAAGGCAGACATAGACACCTTGAGCTGGCCAGAACCCCTAAGAAGAAGAATGTACTGCCCCTCAATCCCTTAACTGAGGACGACTCCCCTCCCCCTCGCCCGCAGCTGCCTCTCCGGACCGAGGGAGGGGGAAGTGGCCAGAAGGGGAAGTGTGAGGAGTTCCCCTCCAGCCTTTCACCAGTCTCCTCAGGTCTTCGGAACAGAAGGCCTCGGGCCCAATCGTGGCCATGGAGCCCGTGGAGACTCCCATCAAGGATGGCGTTCTCTACCAGCAGCACGTCAAGTTTGGCAAGGTGGGGACCTCTGGCTGCCAGATTGCTGCCCAGGACTAGCGGTAGGCAGAGAAAGGGGCCTCTGCCCCAGCCCTGGATAACCCACCTGGACCTGGGAAAACTGGGAAGGGAGTCAGGATGGGAGATGGAACCCAGAATTTCTTTTTCTTGCAGCATTAGGAATTGAGCCCAGAAGTACTCTGCCACTGAATTATACCCCTAGCCCTTTTTTATTTTATTTTTATTTTGAAATAGGGTCTCACTAAGTTTCAGAGGCTGGCCTCAGATTAACTATCCTCCTGCCTCAGCCTCCTGAGTCACTGGGATTACAGACATACCCTATGGTGTGCGGCTGGAACCCAGGAATTGGGGAGCAGAATAAAGTCCTGTTGTCTGCCTGAGAAGGTTGGGGTTGAACAGGCTTTTGAAACCCTGTTTTATTTTAGAGATGGAGTCACCAAGATGAGGGAAGGGTCTAAGAATCAAAACCTCTAGGCAAGGCAGAGCCAAGCAGCCTTCTGCCCCATCTAATAGTGAACTGTTACCCATGGAAAGGGCCAGGGGCTGAGCTGAAGGAGCCCCTGGAGGTAGAGCCACGCCCTGCAGTCAGGGCTGGGCCCTATACCCCACAACTCAGCTGCAGCTGCTGCTCAGTCAGATAAGTAGTCTGTTTCCTTTGTTAGAAGTTATTTGCATGTTTCCTTCCTAGCCATCATGAGGCTCAGGCCTCCCAGCTTCACCCCAATGTCTTTTTTCTCTTTCTTTGTGTGTATATGTGGGGGTGGGGGGTGACAGGTGGGCAACCAACATAACAGCAGTGTGCCCAAGACACTAGATACTCTAGACATAGTCCAGTAGAAGACCAGCCTCACATTCTTAACAGCCTCTTGAGAGACGATGACACTGGGGCTATGGAGGTCACAGGAAAGGGCATGGTGGATTTGAACCCAGGGCTGACTGAACCCAAATACAAACTTTTCCCCCTGCCTGGCCCAGCCCTGGCAAGGTCTCCTTCCCTAGCACCTGAAGACTTGTGGGAGGGAGAGGCGAGATTGGGTAGACAGGAGTAGTTGCTGAGTAGCTTGTGCTGAGCCGAGTGGTAGGAAGAATCTGCCACCTAAGAGTCTCTTCCCCAACCCTCTCTCCCACAGAAGTCCTGGCGGAAAGTGTGGGCTCTGCTGTATGCAGGAGGCCCATCAGGCGTGGCTCGCCTAGAGAGCTGGGACATTCGGGATGGTGGCTTGGGGCCAGCAGGGGACAGATCTGCAGGGCCTGGCCGGAGGGGGGAACGGAGGATCATCCGCTTGGCTGACTGTGTGTCTGTGCTGCCTGCTGATGGTGAGAGTTGTCCCCGGGACACTGGTGCTTTCCTGCTCACTACCACTGAACGAAGCCACCTGCTGGCTGCACAGCACCGCCAGTCCTGGATGAACCCCATCTGCCAGCTGGCCTTCCCGGTGAGTACAGGATGAGCAGGCGAGAGGGCGGGGCAGTCCAAAGGCCGGCTGGTGGAGAACCACATCACCCTGTGCTTGCTTATCTCCTTTCTCAGTTTACATCCTGTCACTCGATAAGCATTGCCAAGCAACTGCAAGGCTGGGAAACAGCCCAGAAACCCAGAGAAGGAATCTCCAATGTCCGTGCGGGTTTAGAGAAAATGAAATACTGGGATGGAACTGGAATAAATGGAGGAACTTTAGGCAGAATGGTCAAGGAAGGCCTCTCTGAAGAGACAGTGGGCCTGATTCTTCAATAACAAATAAAAGCCCACCAGGCAAAGGCCAGAGGAAAGGCCAAGCAAATACAGTAACATAAGGAGTGTTGTGAATGAGGGGGCAGTATGGGAAAAGGTCCACGGGCAAGAAAAAGTGGTGTGTTCACCACAAAAGGGACAGAGAGAAGACTGGTGTGGCTGAAGGTAGAGATCAGGAGGAGCGCAGGAGGTAGAGAGGTCGGAAAGCTTGCTGGGAGCCAGCTGAAGCCACTTTGGGCTACGTGTGGGATTTGGGATTTGTGTCTGAATCAGAGAAGCCTTTGGAGGGTTTAAGCCAGACACTGATGTTTGTAAAGATTAGCTTTTTCAACCGATCTTGATGGACTAGAACAAAATGTCTGGTGATTCCTCAAAAAGTTAGTCATGATGCCAGGCAGAGTGACACATGCAGGAGGCTAAAGGATCTCAAGTTCAAGGCCAGCCTCTTACACCCTAAGCAACTTAGCAAGACAATCTCAAAATAAAAAATAGAAAGGACTGGAGATGTGGCTCAGTGGTTAAGCACCCCTGAGTTCAATTCCTGGTACCAAAAAAAAAAAAGTCAGACATGAAGTTATCATATGACACAGCAACTCTACTGCTCAATATATATCCAAGAGAACTGAAACAGCTATTCAAACAAAACTTACACATGGATGTTCTTGTCAGTATTATTCACTGTTGCCAAAAACAACCCGAATGGCCATTCCCTGATGAATGAATAAACAAAACATGTTCTATCCATATAATGGAATATTATTTAGCCATAAAAAACGAAGCTCTGATAACATGCTACAACAGGAATGAGAATTGAACACATTAAAGAAGCCAGACACAAAGACCACATATTGTATGATTCCATTTACACGAGAGGTCTAGACTAGGCCAATCTATGGTACAGAAAGTAGATTGGTGGTTGCCAGGAATTATGAAAGAAAGAAATGGGGAGTGACTGCTAATGAGTAAAGGGTTTCCATTTGGGGTGATGAAAAAGTTCTGGAATTAGGTAGTGGTGATGGCTGCACAATCTTGTAAATGTAATAAAAACCACTGCATTGTATGCTTTAAAATAGCTAAAATGGGAATTTTATATTCCATGTATTTTGTTACATTTTTACCTTTTTTAAAGGAACAGGATTAAACAGACAAGTGAGGAAGCAGTTGCATTTGACCCTGGCCATTCTCCCATGGGCCAAAGTGGTCATGGTGGAAGTGCCAAGAGTCAAAAAGAACATGAGGACCTGCTAAAGAACTGGATGTGGGATGAGGGATAGGAAGGGTCAACAGCCACTGGTTGGTTTGATCTTGTGTGCTGCCCCTGAGGCTCTTACTTGTCACTGCTCCAAGCTATTAGAGACACCTACAAGCCAATCAAATCCAAGGCCAAGCTCAGGGGCTATGGGGGACATCCTCTTGTTTGCACAGTGATTTATAGCTGTCAGACACCTGTAAGCACAGCTCCCCCTTCCCCAGCTCAGCACCCTCAAGAGAGAGCCCAGTGGGGACTGCCGCCTATCATACAGGTAGGGAAATAGCTTCAGAGGGGTATCTAGAGTCAGGCACAACTGGGACTATCACCTGGGGCCCCAGATGCCCTTGCTTGTAGCAAAATCCAGGGGTGTGGACCCCTTAGGAGGGGTGGGGAAGAGAAGCAGGTAGTCTCTAACCTCTGACTTGAGCCCACTCCCCAGGGCACAGGGGAGTGCTCCTCAGGACCAGGAGAAGCTGAGTCGCCCAAGAGGGGCCTCGTCCCCATGGAGGAAAATTCCATCTACTCTTCCTGGCAGGGAGGTGAGTCACGGGAGGCCCTGGGGCAACCTCAGCCCCTCCCACCCAGAATCTTTTGGGGGACTGACAGGGCACCCTCCTGCCTGCCTACAGCGAGTGAGTTTCCAGTGGTGGTGCAGAGGACTGAGGCTGCTGTCCGCTGCCAGCTAAAGGGACCCTACCTCCTGGTGCTGGGCCAAGACACCATCCAGTTGAGGGGAACTGCCAGCCCCCAGGTCCTCTACAGCTGGCCCTACCACTTCCTGCGCAAGTTTGGCTCTGACAAGGTGAGGTGCTGGGTGGCTTCCCCACTTCCGCAGGTCCCTACAGGGAAGGGCTGTAGGTGGTCAGCAGACTGACCCCTCAGCCCCTGACCCCTACCCATGTCCCTGTATCTAGGGCGTGTTCTCCTTTGAGGCTGGCCGCCGCTGTGACTCAGGCGAGGGCCTCTTTGCCTTTAGCAGCCCACGTGCCCCTGACATGTGTGGGTCTGTGGCTGCTGCCATCGCCCGCCAACGGGAACTGCTGCCAGAACGGGCTGTTGCCAGGCCTTGCCCCCTGCCTCGCGCCACTTCCCTTCCCTCCTTGGACCCCCCTGGGGAGCTTCAGGAGGTGTCACCAGGGGCTGATCTGCCCACCTGCAGAAGGGCACCTGTGGTCGATCCCGGGCCCCAAAGCCTACCGTTACTACTGGGCCCTGCGCCTGAGGAGCCGGTGTCCGATCTCTACGCGTCGGTGTGCAAGCGTGCCAGTGGACCCCCAGCCACCATCGAGCACCTCTATGAGAACGTGTGCCTGCTGGAGGCCAGTCCTGGACTGCCCAATGGGGGCCCTGAGCTCCAAGAGAGCCTTTCTGGTGGCCACAGCCCTGTAGCCAGCCCCATCTATCACAATAGCGAGGACCTGAGCTGGTCCGGCCCCACCCATGATAGCAACCTTGAGGCTCAGTACCGGCGACTGCTAGAGCTGGAGCTTGATGAGGCCGGTGGCACCAGCCGCTCTGGCAGTCAGGCAGGCTTCAAGGCCAAGCTGGTGACACTGCTGGGTCGAGAGCGGAGGAAGGGTCCTACTCACTGTGACTGACCCTGAAGACCTGGGCAGTGACGGCAGGATAGAGGTGCTTCTGGGACAGGAGGGTGGGCAAACTCCTGTCTACTCTGGCTTGCAGGAGCAAAGTAGGCAGCCTGGGAAGGATCCACACCCTGCCCTGTGTGTCCCCCAGTGTACAGTGTACAGATTAACCAATAAAGTGCCAGCTACCCCTCAGTTTTGCCTGTGGCCCACGCTCCATACCACCTCACTTCAGCCCCTGGCAGTGGCACTTGAGGGTCCCCATGAACATAAAGACCCTCACATTCATTGCACCAAACACCAATGTCCTGTTCTCCAGAGACACAAATGTCCTAGACCTGACTTCAGCTACCAGTGGGCTCAAATCCCCTGAAGCAAATGGATGTGATGGTAATAGTTTGGGTTCCATTTGTGCAGTAGGAATGACATGAACAGTCAGATGGTGGGAGACAGGAAGCTTGTTGAAGAGGGAGGTGCCCTCTGCCTTGAACTGGAGGGGCAGGCAGGGCCCACCAGGTGGATAATGAGCCCAGGCCTTCCAAGCTGAGGACAGATATGCATGAGCCTGAGATGATGAGGAAGATGTGGACACAGGGTACTTTGGGTGCCCTGTGGTGAGCTGGGTCTCATTATCAGGAGAGGGACATGGTCAGACTCAATGTGGAGACTGCATTTGAGGGGGCAAAATTGGAGACCAAGACGCCCAAGCTGGGAAGGAGGGAGTGGGGTTCGGAGGATAGTAAGGAGGAGATAGAAGGGATTTCAATGATGTACACACCCAAACACTTGTTCCCTGAAGCAACAATATACAGATACTTCTGGGGGACTTCAGGCCTCAGTTTCCTCAACTGTAAAGGATCAAGACTAAATTAGGGGCTAGGTTTGTAGCTCAATGGTAAAGCACTTACCTAGCACGTGTGAGGCACTGGGTTTGATCCTCAGCACCACATAAAAATAAATTTATAAAGGTATGTGTCCATCCATAACTAAAAACAATTCTATAAAAAAGATTAAAATACATGTGGGCCAGGGTATGGTTCAGTGGTAGAACTCTTGCCTAGCATGTGTAAAGCCCAGGGCCAGCACTAGAAAAAAAAAATTACATATTAGACTTATTCATCAGAATTTTACTGTACCAGAACACTGTGGGACAAGGCCATGTTCACAGCTTTAGTCCTGTTCTCAAGGAGCCAACATTCCAGAGAGAGATAAGCATATTTCTAGAAGGCTTTAGTCCCTGCTTTCTCCTTCTCTCCTCTGCTACTCCTGCTGACAACCTTGGGACCATCCATGCATACAATGTGATCCCAAGGATATGACCTCTTTGTCCCTTGACTTCAATTCTATCTCAGCTGCCCTTGGCACATCTTGGATCTTGTCTTCAAACAGTAACACACCAATCTTATTTCCACCAAAAGAAAGATTTTTAAAAAGGTGTTGAATAAGCTGAAAAGCTGAGGGAGTCCAGGCCCTGGGTTCCATCCTCAGCACCACATAAAAATAAATAAAATAAAAGTGTCCTCTTCTGGCCACTCCTCTCCCTCCTTCCAGCTAACTTCCTCTAGCATAGCCAATATTTCCTTTCCAGGCACAATGACCTACAGGGATTCTTTTCTCATGATCTGTAAGGTCCCTGTCTACCTTCTATCCTTGTCCCCTTTCAATTTCACCTGCAGAGTCATTTCTCACTCTCTTGTCTCCTTCCATCTTGTTTGACTGGCAAAGCCCCCAGCCTCAAGGGAACCCAACTTATTATTGTGCCTGTTCTCTGGCAGCTGCCCACAGTTGGAGAAATTCACATAAGCAGGCTGACTGCCTTGTGACACAATATTATTGCTGGCTCTCGAGGCTGCCCTCAGATCCTGTGTTGTACATAGACTGCTTTTCTCTTCCCTGAGACCTTCAATCCTTTTCCTCTCCATTCCCTCTCATTTCCACCTCACTGATGAAGTGGGACAACAGCCATCAATAGTAGTGAACTTTCCACCACCTTCAGTCGTCCACCACTGCACCAGCAAAGGGGCCAGCGTCTGCATCCATCTTCTCCTGTTCCTACAGTGGAAGAAGTATCTGTCCCCATCCATGTGCTCTGCCCCCAGCTTTTCTCAGTTTCTCAAAGGCTGGCACACTAAGATGTCACCTTTCTCTTCCATTAAATTAGTCTCTCTCCCTTCCCACCTACTCCCTCTTTAGAGTTGGGGACTGAGCCCAGAGCCTCATACATTAGACAGTGACTCTGTGACTGAGCTACACTCCCAGCTCCCCTTTCTCTTCTGGAGCCATCCATGATTAGATCATTATTGCCATCATCATCGTCGTCATCATCATCACCATCATCATCATCATCTCCAGCCACATGCAAACATGCTGTATTATTTCAAAACTTAAAAGTAATCTTCCCTTGGACTGGGGTTGTGGCTCAGTGGTGGAGTGCTCGCCTGGCACATCAGAGGTCCTGAGTTCAATCCTTAGCACCACATAAAAATAAATAAAATAAAGGTATTGTGTCCATCTACAACAAAAAAATAAATATTAAAAAAAGAAAAGAAATCTTCCCTTGACCTCATATTCCCCTTTAGCCACCTCCCCATTTGCTCCTCCTCACAGTGAAACTCCTCAAAAGGGTTGTTGATTACTCTCATTTCCACTTTCTTACCTCCCATTCTCTCCTTAACTAACTACAATTTCCCTTTCTCCCCACCACTCCATTACACGGTTCCTACCACAGTTGCCAACCATCTTGCTCCCCAAAACAAAAGTACCCGGACTCTCTCAGCTTCTCAGCTTATTCAATACCTTTTTTATTGTTCTTTTGGTGGTGGTGTTGGAGATTGAACCCAAGACTTCACACGTACTAGGCAAGCACTCTACCACTGAGCTATATCCCTAGCTTGACACCCTTTCCTTTTTATTTATTTATTTTTATGTGGTGCTGAGAATGAAACCCAGTGCCTCCCACATGCTAGTCAAGCGCTCTATTGTTGAGCCACAACCCCAGCCCTTGACACCTTATTGAAACACCTTCTGTTCACTCAGTTTTTCTCCTCCTATCTCATGATCTCTCCTTCCTAGCCTTTTTTTTTTTTTTTCAGTGCTGGGATCAAACCCAAGTCCTTGCACCATCTTGCACCCTGTTAGGCAACTCTCCACCACTAAGCTATGTAGCTGATCTCTTTGTTCTCCTCTTTGTTAGAGTTCTTCCCCAGGGGGGTCTGGCCTCAGACACGGTGTAGCTCAAGTTTGGCTACACATGTCATCACCTGGAAACCTTTGAAAAATTCCTACATTCATCCCCAGGGGCTCTGATTTCATCAGTCTGGCAACATGGGATCTAGGCTTCAGTATTTGGCTTTTCAATTTCTGGGTGATTGTGGTATGAATCCTAGGTCAACAACCACTATCCTGAGTCAGTAAATCATGCATAGATTTCATATACATGAAATGTAGATTTCATATTTTAGGCCACGTAAGTGCAGATTACTCCCAAAGATATATCTTCAGTACTCACCCCTGAGCTCCAGATTTAAGAATCTAATTGCACATTAGATATCTGAATGTTTAAAAGTCATCTTCAGAGCTAGGGTAGAACACTTGCCTACCATGTATAAGAATCTGGGTTCTATTCCCAGCACTGCCAAAATACGAAAGGCATTTCCAAATTTAATGTGTGAAGGGAAGTTTGGGGAGAGAGGTCTGCATGCAGTGCTGCCCCAGGGTTGATTTAACCACAGAGAGTAGAGCCCAGGAGGATGTTGGAGCCAGGTGTAGGCAGATCTAGCGTCACTTATGGAAAATTTCCTGACAGGTAAAGGCTTCACATGATTGAGCAGGCTGCCATGGAGCAAGGTGAGGCCAAGAGTTGTGGCAATATCAGGGACCCCTCCTTTCAGTGACAAATCCAGGGCTGGGGCTGGGGCTCAGCAGTAACACACTTTTCTGGCATGTACGAGGCACTGGGTTCGATT